GGATTGGACTACCAATGGGCAGTATAAAAATAAAATTTATTATTATTAGTAGTAGTAGTAGTATTCAGCTCAACTACTCAACTGTTATTCTGGTTTAAGAATTCTCTGTCATCAGTTCACTGACTGTTCTTAGGCTGGTCACTTTTTGTTCTGTCCTTAAATTTCTAGCTGTGGAGGCCAGTGTCTTCTAAATGATATCACTGCAATACAGTACATAAATAGTTCTCGTCTCAATTCACAGATGAATGTCGTGAACTATCTTATCAATTTACAGATCCATCTAGCCTAGTACTGTCTACAACTACTGATATGCATTCTCTGCACTCTTTTCTATCACCTACTACTCAATTGTTAGGTATTAGTGCCATCAGCTGTGGCTCCTCTCAAAATATATGCCGAATATATGCATTTACATTCCTTAGCTGTAGGTTGTCATGTAGTCTGTAATTTTCTTGCTGCTTTTACCACCTGGAGCCAATTGCTTACAAGCACTTTAGAGTCCTGCTTTCCTCTTGTGATATGCTTAAATTTAGATTGACCTGCTACACCACTGTCTGTCAAGTCACTCTACTCAGATGCCATACTTTAGCCCCAATCTAGGAGTGTCTCATGTTCTTCGAAAGGTTGCAGGGGACAGAGCAGAGAACTTTGCAGGTAGGTAAACAAGGAAAAGAAGCCAATACTGATATATATGAAACTAACAGTTAAGATAAGTTTGATAATTCAGTAATATGATATCATTTATTAATTATGTTGCTGTTGTTGTTGGTTGTTGTGTGCTTTCAAGCAATTTCCAACTTATGGCGACCCTATCACAGGGTTTTCTTGGCATGTTTTTTGTGTCGAGCATTGCTTACTTTTCTTAATGTGGCAGCCCAATGGGTACTGTTATCCCATCGCTGCCACAATATGTTGTGTATCAGACCACTTTTATGTATAGCTTTGGGTTTATTCTCCAAACTTGGTTTCTTTATTTCTTGGTACCATGGAAATTCAATTCAGATTTAGACAGGCTTGTAATTAAACAACAATAAAACTTTATTTGAATGATGGTTAACAATCTTTCATTTGTTATGATGTTGCATTCACTTGTTCTTGTTATACTTTGTTATACATTCTTTAACTCTAGAAAACACCAGATACTCTCATTTAGGACCCTCACACCATCCTTATTTACTGTTATCCTTCCAACCTTATTTCTATACTAGCCCTCAGGCTAACTATCCCACAGGATATAAAATACCAGCAACTCGCTCACTTGGAATGCTATATTCAACTAAGGGCCAATGCAGACAGCCTAAAGGGCTGGCCTGGGGATGGAGTTGGGGAGGGGCGACCACACGCTGGCCGCCCCAACTCTGCCCTGATGCCACCGTCATGCCACGCACCCAACCACATGGGTCTAAGGAGCAGCATTTGCCAGCTCTTTTTGGAGTGGCAAAAAGGAGAATCAGGGCCGTAGCATGTGATTGCCGCGGCCCCAATCCGGCACTCCCCTAGGGGCCATCTGCATCGGCCCTGAGTCCTTCACTACTAGACTTTTCCCTCACAGTCCTTTTCTTCTGGCCTATTACACATCCAAACCCAGTCTAACTCCAACTGACAGCAACGGAATTCCTTATCGCCTACAGCCCAAAATCCTATTGGCTGTCATCAGCACACTCCTGATTGGCTGTTGCTAACTTGGCATAATTCTGCCTGCTCTCCACAGTTTTGTTCAAAGGTTTGCCATTACCTTTCTCTGAGGATAAAAGTGTGTGACTTGCGCAAGGTCATCCAGTGGGTTTCCATGGCCAAGCAGGGAATTGAACCCTGGGTTCTAGAGTCATAGTCCAATATTCAAACCACTATGCCACACTGGTTCTCATTTATTAATAGATGTCTCAGTCTTCAGCTTTGACTTCAGATGTTATCAAAGATGTTGTCTCCTCTCACTGATTGTCTTAAAGCAGCAATGGACTGGATGAAGAAAAAAGACTGAGACTGAATCCAGATAAAACAGAGGTACTTACAGTAGCGACCCTGAAACCAAGTATTGAGATGCAACCTCCAGTCCTGGATGGGGTCACAATCTCCTCTAAGGACTGTTTTCGCAGTCTGGAGGTGCTCCTGGAT